GCGCGGCTTCTTCCAGTTGCCCCCCCGCGCGGCTGGTCTTTGATCCTTTTTGAATTAATCTGTGTATATGATATGAAGTAGGAGTCAAAATTCATTTTTTTACTTGTGGCTATTTGGCTGTCTCAGCATCATTTATTGAAAAGTGTATTCTTTCCCCATTGAACTATGTTTTTTAAAAATTCTTTTATTTTACTTATTATTTTCACATGCATTCATGGGGCGGGGGAGTGAGAAAGGAGATCTATTTTACTTATTACTATTATTCTCATGTGCATTCACCAGGGGTGGGGGACTCAGAAAGGAGGGACTGAACAGCGGTCGGCCATGTGGGAAGTCCAGCGCCTCAGCCACCTCACCGCCTGCTGGCCCCTGAACTGTGTTTGTGAAGAACACACTGGAACGTAGTAGAGGAGCAGATAGACGGCATGAATGGGAAAGAAGAGTCAAGATTATTGACTTCAACAGCTAGTTTAGTGGTTTCAGCACTTACCGAAACCATGGGGTTTGTCATTGTGACTTGAAGTGGGAAGAAGTGAGGAACGGTCATGAGTTCTGATAAAACTTCAGTTGTCTGTGACACCTACTTTTCTGCCTACTGTGCAGTGAACATTGTGTGGGTAGGAAGAACGGCCAGGAGCCAAGAGCTCAAGCCTTCAATGAGGGAGGGGACTGATCAGGAGGAATATCAAGAGGATGATATAGTAGACACTTAGGGCTTCCAAGGAACACAGTAACCATGTTTGTCAAGAAAGGAAACGTGAGGGACCAGCAGTTAGCATAATGGCTGTGTTGCTGGACTCCCACGTAGTTGACCATGGTTTGAGTCCTGGATCCGGCGGCTTAAACTCACACCGGGCGCGTGTGCGTGCGTGCCCAAGATTCCAAGAGGAGAATGGAGGAGAAGGGATTGCGGTGTGGCCATCTCCCTGGGGGGGTGATTTCTCGCTTTCTGTCTCTCTGTCTCTCTCTGTCTTTCTGGTGAGTGCACGCGCCCTATAGCAAAAACCTCTCCAAAAAAAAGAAAGAAAGAAAGAAAGGAAAAGTGATAGTTGATCTAATGGGAACAAGAATACTTACTCCATATACTGGCCTTGAGGATTTGAGAGTTATAAAAAGGGAAAAATGCTAGCAGTTATTTTTTAAGAGGACAGCAGAAAAAGCAGTGTCCTCCAACCAGCATGCTTCAATTAAGGCAAAGAAATGGAGGGAATGTTTTCCTCTTTTTTTTTTTTAAGAGAGATATATTTGCTATAGGGTGCTTGTGCTCACCAGAGAGACAGAAGCATAAAGAGACAGAAACTGCAGTCTACTTCGTGGGAGTACAGAGACACAACAATTATGCTATCTGGTGGGAATGTTTTTAAAAAGCAGCTGAGGGACCAGCAGAGGGACCAGCAGATGACGTAATGGTTACATCGCTGGACTCCCACATGGCTGACCAGAGTTCAAGTTCCAGACCTGGATTCTTGAAACTCACACCAGATGTGTGTGCATATGCTCAAGATCTCAAGAGAAGAATGGAGAAGGGACTGTGGCATGTCCATCCCCACTGCGGGAGTGATTTCTTGCCTTCTCTCTCTATCTCCAGTGAGCACATGTCCCTTATAGAAAAAAATCTCTTAAAAAAAAAAAAAAAAAAGAGGCAGCTGAGAATTTATGGACATTGGCTGGAACTCGGGAGTTCCAGAATGCAGAGTAGTAGGAGGTAGGGTAGGGGAGAGATCAGGGATATATGGAACAATGTGGGGATAGCACTTCGGGCAATAATGGAAGACCAAGGACACTTGAACTTGGGCAGCACTGAAGTAAACAGACATGTTGCATAATGGAAGCAGCCCCTGTAGGCTCTGAGAAGATAGGTACTTTGTTCCAGTGCTGTGGGTCTGAATGCTTCCCCGGAGAGAACAGCAACCTCCCAGGCAGCATCTCAGTGTCTCCAGGGTGATATGGCAGTTTCCAAGGAGAGCAGCCAATGCCAAGGTCTTAATGGTGACTTTTCCAAAGTCACATTAAGTTAGTAGCAAAGCAAGTCTCCTAACACCAGACATAACCCTGCTCACCACCCTAATCTGTTCATCTTAGTTGTGGTGCTCATTTACCTTCAAAGCTGGGTCTGTTAGATCACTAGAAAACAAAAAGGAAAGGAAAAAAGAAAAACTTGATACTAGGCAGGGTGTCCACTTTGGGTGAGTGCAGAAGGGGGGAGAAATGGTAGTTCTGCACACAGACCTGCAGAGCAGTGGCTGTGGCCCAGCAGGTCTGCACGGCCATGGCTGCGAGCTTGACTCTGTTGTGTGTGCTCTATCCACAGGGTCATGTGGGTACAACGGCAACCAAGAAGATCGATGTCTACCTCCCGCTGCACTCGAGCCAGGACAGACTGCTGCCAATGACTGTGGTGACAATGGCCAGCGCCAGGGTGCAGGACCTAATTGGACTCATCTGTTGGCAGTATACAAGTGAAGGACGGGAGCCGAAGCTCAAGTAATAACCTTTCTCTTTTTGGCTGCTCTAGTTTCTCACAGTCTTCTGGCTACCCAATGTGCATTCTAGACCTGAGTCTTTCTAGGCATTGGCCTAAAAACTAATCCTCTCCACTGATTCAGCCCACCAGATCTTGGGTCTGTGTATCTTTTCTTTTTTTTTATAAGAATTATTTTTTCCTTCCTTCCTTCCTTCCTTCCTTCCTTCCTTCCTTCCTTCCTTCCTTCCTTCCTTCCTTCCTTCCTTCCTTCCT